ATACTGACTGACTGATGTCATCCTTAATCGGATACATAGATCCAACAGCTTGGATTCTGCATCTACAGACTGATGTACAGTCCATGTTAATAGGTGCTTCTTGAGTTTACAGTATCCAGTATAAAATACGACAAATAGCCGGAATTTGTACCTCGAAAGGTACCCCTTTAACAACTTTGTCTGGCGAATGCCTGWAAGTTCCAGCCAAGGTAGAAAATCGGTCTGCTCCATTAAAGCAWTTAAGATCCAGCAAAATAACACTGGAAACCTTTGGAAAATTGTGTTCAACTTATTTGCATTCACCCTATACTTASTACAGTTTTGGTCACCAGTCACTTGTTAATATTCTCAGACCTCAAAAAAATGCTCACAAAAAATTAGTTTCGGAATTTAACAGAACTTTTAAGTCATCACCACCCAACCTACTTTGCTGCAGCCTAATTTATGTTTGATAATTAATTCATYAAGCTGCGAAAATATTAATGCTACAAAGGGTGCCTTTAATCAATTTGGGAATATTCTGTCTTCGACTTACCCAATTTCTAATATAAATTCATTGCGTTGATACGCTCTATGTGTGCGTTACGSAATTTGAGGGAGAAAAATAAATCAAACCGCAGTTGTTCCAATTTTTAATTTTTCCAAATGTAAACAAACAAATGCTCAACTCTTTCGCAGTAAATAAAATATATACCATACTAAGGTATATTTGGCTTGCGGCCGGTTAAAGTATTATATTTAGCATTAAAACACCTTTGGCTTTACGCTATTTTTTATCGTACGTACATACTATGTACAYATGTGYGAATGCGCTAAGSATATTCGATAAATTATAGCGCCAAATTGAGGTATCGATCTGAAATTTTTCACACGTATTTTTCTGCTATAAAATTGTACCAATATTATAAATTAAAAAATATAGGAAATGGGTATTAATTTTGCCAAACTATAAATTTCATGAAATTTTTAATAGATCTGAATCGTTGGCTCCACATACATGCATGCATACATACATATAATATGTAACCGGAACCCAAGCGCATTTTTATCCAATCAGAACTGTCAAGTCGCCAGCATTCTTCTAAGTTACTTTAGGAATATTTTCTGCTGATACCAAAAAGGAAACAACAACATGAGATCCGGCAACAAAAGGGGCAGAAATTTGTATGCGTATGTTTGCAAATACTATAAAAGTTTGATAGTTTTGGTTTTCCGCTCATGACGCACTGTGTTCTAAACTTTGAAATCTGGCGTTTTTGGGCTGACATCACTTTTTAATTTAACTGATTATTACATTTATTTGTTCTTCACTGATTTCATTGCAGTTTGAAGTGGAAATATTATTAAAAATTTCATTTAATAGAACTTCTTTTTAGGAAGTTGTAAAAAAAGTATACTTTGATGGCTGAAGAAAAGATTCCAAGTGTCATGCGTATAYGCGTTTTATGTACATATGTATGTACATATATCTTATTAGTGAAATAATAAAATATGTAATGAATAGACAACTTGAGCGATAGCGCAAAATTGAAATAAGTAATTGCATTTTTGCAAGAATTCCAATATTTCCATTACCTCTTTAATTTACATATGTATGTCAATATATGCACTTGTCATATTTGAGAGCTGTTAACAGTAATGATAACGGTAAATATTTTACATTCGTACATGCATACGTACAATATATGCATGTTTGTATAAATAATAAATAAAATGTATTTAATGGGTGCACTCACTCTTCTAGCCTCCTTTCATAAACTACTTAAGTAAAATTATTCACTTTCATTTCGCAATACATCTATACAAACGTGGTATGTATATATGTTTGTATGTACAGCACCAACCCTCATTTCGCAATAGAATCTTCRAAATGACGAAGTGAGTTGTGTTCTTTGTATTTTGCAGTTAGTATTGAATACAATGAATTGTTGTAATTCAGTTAAGCGGTGGAATGTCTGCTTCACACTTTAATATGTTTATATACTATTACATACATATGCATACATGTATGTATATTATTTACTAGCATATTTACCTTTTTTATGTTTTTACGTGTTCTATTTGTGGGTTCGTCGTGTTTTCATGCACTTTGATTCCTTTTTGCACAAACTATTTTGCTTTTACTTTCTGTAAATCGGTTACGCACTATTTTTATTTTATTCTAATTTTTTTCGAAGTCACCACTTCAAATCAAATTAAACTGCATTCTCGCGATTGTTCTGCGAATATTTTCTTAGAAATCAGCACTATGATCACTGCAGACACCGCTTGGTGAATACAAGTTTTAAAAGAACTATGTAGTATATTTATGTACATGCATACAATACATCCAGACATACATATGTACATACATATGCGATGCCGTTGGACGGCTGCATAAGTATTGTTGTCCTACACTCTTTTGTAGACAATATTTGTTACCTGCCGCTACCGCTTGATTTCAATTGACAGCAAATTAAGTGGAAACATTGAAGCAACCCAATATTGACTCAAATATGTTGATATGGTATATGTATACTTGGTTCACATGCTTAAAGTTATGCATTCACGCAATTGCAAATACATACATATGTACATACTTGTGTACGAATACATATTTAAATATGATAACTGACGTTCATAAATTGGACAAAAAAGTAATAAGAAAAAATTATGTTCACTGATTTCCACACATTTTCCATTTGTGTGCGGTCAGCGAAACAGACATTGGCGCATGCAGTGCCGGCTACGCYTCACAAGAATTCGTTGAGGATGGCGTGAGCACATTACTTATTATGTATTAGTATGTACATATACATAGATATGTGTCTAAAAATCAAAGCGATAGCGACCAATAACCAAACGCGAATTGCCAATTGCATTCTTATCGAAAGAAATAACCACAATTTTTTGCAAAGGAAAACACAAATCAACACTTTAACGTGCAAATTGGTTGTAACACCCTAATATGATTATTTAGTGTATTTCTACCAATTTCARTTGGATTTAATTGTGCGTATGTATGTAAATCGGTTTGACCAAATAATGATGTTTCACTCTAAATTTAGCAATTTTATTTCCACTTTTCGATAATTCAGCATTGCGCTTTAACTTTTTTCTACTTGTTATTCAATTTATGCCATTAATTGAACTCAGCAATTTTATGCAAACCCAAATGATTTTATCACATTAGCACGTCACATAATACGCACCATACGGCGAAACTAATGACACACCACTAAAGACAAACAGACTGTCTACTTAGAAAGCAGAAGCGAAATAACACAAAACCATTGACGATATAGAAAAATGTTTTTTGGCAATRGACCCGGCAAATGTTATGCACACCTACAAGTAATGGCAAACACTTATGGATATAATCGCAACTACATAGTACTACGTATTCATTAGCCAAAATGGGTAAGTTCTTATTTGTTGTTTTATTATTATTTCGCCTTACATCAATAACTGTCACAAATTGCACTAAACTAGTGCTTTTCCACACTTCCGTTTCCTCGTCCCTTTTTTCACCAACACGTAAAACTGCATTTACTACATATACGTAAATATGTTTTTTTGTTTCAAGATATGTATATACTTTTTCGCGAAAATCATCATACACCAAAATAAGAAAACAAAAAACCAAAAAAAATTATGAAATCAGCAAAGTAGCTATTCTTATTTTCGCAAATTTTTCAAATTTAACCGCGTACACATCTTTCTAGCAGCCGCACACAGAGAATACTGAAAGAGAAATACTCACGAAAATAACAACGAACCAGCCCCATTGCCGGTAATTTCATCGGCGGAAGCAACTGAAGCGCCAAACTGATTCAACATATACTGTGGTGCGCCACTGAACAAATATGCTATAAATATTAAAGAGTATCTCAGTTTTTGTTTGACCTATTGGACTTATTTTAATTTAATTTTTTTTCATATTCTTTCATTGATCATTGATTGTGTTAGTTTCACGTTAAATAGTATATATATATATATACTTTTTAGCTTTTGAAATATGATTTTACAGTAGGTGTTGAATTATCGGTGTCTGAAACTTGCTTTATTATGTTATTTTGAACATTATTCCATATATTTTAAATTTTACTCAAATAAAACAGCGATTATTCCCTTTATTCATCATAAATAATTAGAGCGCTTTATACATACATATAATATAAACATTTTATCGATAATCATATCGATCGATCGACAAATCAATTTCAATAGTGATGGCAAATTATCGGTAGTTTTTAAATTTAGCGTAGGTTGTTATTCAATGCAACGGTACAATATCCGAATATACTGTTCAGATCGGATCACTATAGCAATTAGCTGCAATAGAAATTTATTGATCAAATTCATGCCCTCGTTTGAAGCACAATCCGGGTCCGTTCCGGTTTTCGTAGACCCGACTGTCGTGGGCACGGATTTGTGAAGGGGTATTGAAGGTTCAACGTAAGTATCTTGGTTGGGGTTTAGATGTATGAAACATTAATCATTATAATACTATATAAGAAAAATAAATTAACCATAAGCAGTTATACTCGACTTTTGTGTGATAGGATTTTCTTTCTTCAATATTTGCTATTTTGWTAATATTTTTAACTGATCCATCGATTTAATGGTAGCTTACCTTTATAATTGTTTTATATAAATATTTCTATTAAGTTTGAATATAATTATTGTTTGACTTGAACTATTTGAAAATATTTAGGGAATGTAACTACCGTTACTCCCAAATACCTTTAGTTCAAGTGCGAGTGAGTTTTCTTGTATTAAAAACCCTTAGTTTCCGATACGGCCAAGAGTTAATTTTATAATAAACACTGATTTCAAACACAATACTTCGCTRCTTTGGTTATTGTTGAAGTGRCAAAAAACATTGCTKAAGTAATTCTGAGGAATGCTGCCTACTTCACTCATTGGCTGGATAAAAATMCGAGWCCATTTCAGTTACGATTACTCCRAKTGTAGWAATTATCAATTTATACCAATTTCAGCTAACAATCACTGCACACTTTTAGTTGTATTTTAAATTTTTTTATTATTTCACTTTTAAATACAAAAACGAAACATCCCTACGAATATAGATCACCGAAGTATCTGTTTAGGCAACCAAAGCCGAAGCGGTGCTGGATTCGTATTTCCAGTTGGGTGGCAGAACACTCTTTGTCTTATAGTAACGAGCCAAACGGTGGATTCTTGACTCAACCAGAATCAAACGGAATTTACCATCCTTATCCTTGCGATTACGCTCCAAATGCTTACGGATAGCAACAGCCTTCTTGATCATGTGGTACAAATCTTCAGGGATGTCGGGTTTTAAACCAACAGATTTCATAATACGCAGAATTTTGTTGCCATTGACAAAGCGTACCTGCGCAACACCATGCGAATCACGAAGAATGATACCTGTAGCACAAATAAGAAATTAGCAGAGCCCCACAATTATAATTTTGTGTCTCATGTTATACTTACCGATTTTGGAAGGAGTCATGCCCTTTTTGCCCAATTTTTTGATGTGTTCTTTCACATCCTCGGCATTCAATTTCAGCCATGAAGGCACCGTCCGTCTGTAGGGAAGCGCTGATTGGGAAATACCCTTACTGTTTAATAACAATCATAAGTGACATTTGTAAAAGAAGAAATCATTAATTAGTAAATATAACACCAAGTGTAAGGAAGATTGCAGTAAACCAGCAAACGCCACATGGGCGTACTAGCAACATAAAATTTTTACGCAACAKCATCTTCTATTAAAACTTTTACATACAAAATATAAACCACAAGGAAATAATACACTGTTAAAGTAATAGATTTGCGTAAAAATTATTATAAATTACAGTTAAAAACGATTTTTTACCCAGGAGCGTGCATACGACCCATCTTTACAGATTTTTATTCTACACCAAAAAGAAAGAATGGAACGGAAGTGGAGACTCATCACATTAATGGCCGCTACAATGCCGCCAACATAAGTAAAGTAACTRATGACAAATGTTAACTAAGAACAGTACAGAAGGTCTAGTATTTAAAGATAATGTATCTATTTTATGTTTGTGGCAAAATTTTTGTTCATAAACAAAAGCTATAGCTAATCGTTAAATGTGCCTTGACATTTCTTCGCACATTTCTGTATTTTTGTCATTAACTATTATATGTACTATATGCAATCAAATTTTATTATTTTAAATTTTAATTCTGCAAAATATAGAAGTCTTAATTAGTCACCCTGCTAGGAGACCGCTCGCAGTGCTGTCAACAAACGAATATGATCTCTCCTAAATTTCTCTCCAACAAACACACACATTCAATTTATCGGCTTATTTTTCTATACATATACGTTAAACTAACAAACACTATAACAATAAATGCACACGCTTACAATTTGCTGCAGAAAATTGAAAATGGCTGAGTTTGTGCAAAGAAACTTTACTGCATTAGAAAAATTTCCACAAATATTTGGAGAAAAACTTGTGTAAAAATACTAAGTTATGAAAAATGCGCATTGTGAAATTAAAAAGTGTTAAAATTTAAACATACAACAATAGAAAAGAGCGTTTGAAAAAGTGCATATTTTTCTCGCTTAGAACAAGATAAATTGCAAAGATAGAATTTACGTATACAGAGGCCATAGCCATCAACTGTCAGTGAAAAAAGTATTACTCAATAGAGGTTTAATTTATTAATGGAACTATAATTTGAATACATTATCAAACTTTTAATTACGTTTTGTAATATAAAATTACATTTGTGAAGTACTATAAAAATAGAAAAGGGACAAATTTTATTTAGCCCTATTCGTGTAACGCATACACAAGATTAAAAAACTAAATAGCTCAAACGAAAAAGGGCATACCTATGTAGTTTGCTAATTTAATATCTATGTACATACCATTGTATTGTATATTGCAATAATTTAGAATGTCCGCCGATTCTGGTGATAGTGATATTGACTCACGTCCTTCGTGTAGCCAAAATCGACGTGTAACTCGAGGAAATGCTAATCATGGTGGTGGTAATTGTACTGAAACTAGGAAAGGTAGAAAACGTCGCATCGTCATGCGCATCGAATTTGATGACAGTGGTGAAGATAGTTCTTCGGCTTCAGAAGTGTCGGGCGGAGATGGTCAAGTAGAAAACGGTAATAATAGTCAGCCACAATCATTTTCTACTATACCGCGAAGAACTCGCCAAAATGGTAGGCCTCTTGGAGGAAAAATGCCCATCAAAAATGATGGTTCCGATGATTCGGATAACATTCGTAGAAACAATACGCAGCGTCTTCGGAAGAAGCGTACAAATATGATTAACATGGATGGAAGCGATTCGGATGAGTCTTCAAGTGGTAGTGAGGTAATGGATTATTTTTCGTTTATTAAAAAGTTGTTCAAAAACATACAGATATATAAATGTATATGTATAAGACAGAAATGTATTGCTTTGATATTGGATGTGTGTATTGCGCATAGTCGTTCATTTTTATAGTTATAAAAGTACAAATTTTATTACTATCTAACCTAAAGTAATCGCTATAAAATAAATAACGTTTTCGTCCAATGAATTCTGAAATCGTAAGTTATGGCTAATATTCATATTTAAATGCTTATAAAAATTACGTGTTTGGATAAATATAATTAAAATATTTCCAAACATTTAAATATTTTATTGGTACTTACTCTATAAACTTTACTATGTATACAAACATTAGGTTCCAAGCATTGATATATTTATTTATTTACTATTAATAAAAGTATTAACATTTGATTTGAAAATTAAACSGTATACCGTTGTTTTCAAAAATGTTTTGTTGGATATTTCGAATAAGGGCAAACACCTTAATTAAGTAAATAAAAAATATTCATTAACTTATAGTATTTATATAAAATATGCATCTAATATTTTGTTTTATATTATATATATAATCTTTACGCTTCTACTTTAATATATTAGTATTTAAATATGTTTTTACCAATATACCTAAAAGTATATATTTTTAAAGTATATAGCTGTTATTCTTGAAGTTTCTTCCTATTATTGAAATATGCCAAGAAATTGTTCATAAGGCCGAATGTATGTACATAGTGATGGTCAAAATACTACAATATATGTGAATTGATTCACAGATATATAATAAAAACGTTATAATTTCAAGAGTTTCCCAAACTTCATTATTATAAAATGGATTAGCATCGCCAACTGCCTCCTTTGGGTCGCACCACAAATTTTATAAAGTGTTGAGGTTTATAGGTTGTGCATACCACTCCATGACCTTAATCCTATTTATTTGAAACCATAGAAGAGCCAACTTGCTTGTGTGCTTTGCATCATTGTCTTGTTGAAAGACTCAAAGAAATGCCATTTAACATTACATCCTGCATAAATCGAACCTCGCAGTACGATCCATGGTCCTCTTAAAGTAATGTATCGGTCCATCACCATTAATTGAAAAACATGACAATGATGATGATGATGATGTTTTTAAAGCATTTCAAATCATCTCCGGTCAACAACCAATTAAATTTTAAAACTCTTTATCTTAGATCGCATTGATAAGCTGTGCAATGACCGATTTCCAATGGTGCGAAATTTAAATAAAATTTTTACCAATATATAAAACAAAAATACATAATAAAAATTAAAACTTACATTTCCGAAAATTGTTTATTCAAATAAATATTTGGTATTTGTGCTTTGATAGTTAGTCCATGCACTATAATTATTTTGATTGCCTTAATAGCTTACTCTTATGAAAATAAGCGAAATTCCAAAAGCAAAAACTAAGTCATAAAATTATAGTAGTTTTTTATTGYTCTGTGTCTTTAAAGAAAAAATCACACAAATAAGGCAACATAAGAAATAACAAACACTAAACTATTTACCACATTTGCACTAATATTATTTTGACCGCTGCTCTAATATATATACATTTGTATTGGGATACTAATGTGTAATATGGTCCATTCTATTATTTTATAGATGAAAAGTCCTTGTCACAAAATTATCATCGTATTTATACAACGCAAAATACAGGTTACTAAAATCATCTATTGGAAAATTCCGTTTCTGTTTATTAGACCATAATTTTATTGCTCTTTTTTCCATTTTTCCAAATTGCTTCTTATATATAATGTATTTATTGTTTCGTAAAACACGTATACACTAATTTAGAGTCATTTAGCAGTAGCTGTGCTGCTGGAGGTGGTGTGTGGCTAAACCCGGAAAGAATAGTAAGCATTTTCTAACACAAAGGGAGTTTTTGTGGCCTAGTCAAGGGGTGTAGGGGTCAAACCACCACCATTTACTAATGCTGATTTCATGAAAAATTTTGAACTCAAATTCGTAATTAGGATACCATAAACCTCTCAGTACATCAGTCGCAAATTTTTCCTCCAGATTTATTGAGGAATTTTACTACTATGAGTAGTAAAATTTTTCAAATAGTATTCAACTTATGAGATCGTTTTATGGCTTCTTTTTATATTTCTCTTTCTAAAAACCACATATTAAATATTATGTGTATATAAGGATTTTTAATTTACTTGGAAGTTTTAATATATTAGTGCATATATGTACATATAATAAAAGCCTGAACAAGGTATATTCATTTTGGCACTAATGATCAGCGTGAAGAGCATTTAGCCATTTTCGTTTGTACATATGCATATGCAGGAGCTTGTCTCTCGGTTTGCAGACATCAAATGCTTCCTAAAAAGTTGCTCATTTGTCTAAACTGCTGATATCGTTATTCCTTACACCATMTTTCACACATGTATCTTACATCAAATAACATCGATGTAGATTCAGCATATATTTTGTTCTTTCTTATGATATTATAAGTCTGCAGGTATTGGTTAAAAAACTCTTAAACTTTAACTGAAATACGATATTGTAGAGTACTGAAAATTCGGCAGCAGCAATCCCAAGAAAAAGAAAAGATACAAATGTCGCTCAAGCATAACATTATTCACCAATGAGACTCTCCCATTTTAGAAAAATGTAAATTCTGTCGTAAGAGAATTTTAATGGTTCACAAACTATTGTGCGGAATAGGTCGAGATTTCTTACAATCATATGTATATTTTAATTTTATTTTTTTCATTACATGAAAAGACAAGCTAGAAAATAAGTTACGAATATCGTTCGATATACATACAACTAATATCAACATTGTAAGCCAAATGAAAAAACTATTCGTTATTACATTTTCAAAATCCTTGGAATTCTCCGATACATAACCTTATGATTTTATGGTCGGTGAGTCCAATGGTCTATTATAATATTTTGCTCCTGGGCCGGAAAAACATTGTCAGAACAGTCAGCATCGCATATTCACAGAGCTTTTTGCGAATAGCATGAATTTAGACAGATAATTTCACCTTCAAACAACTAAAATCCGCAATGTTTAAACTGGATTAGTTTAAGGTAAAGTTTTCCATTTTATAACATTATACAAATATCATTAAGTGTTGTTGTTGTAGCGGCAGAAATCTGCCGAGTTGACAGTCCATGGCCGAATAAAATCCTGATCCATTCCGATTGCGTAAACCCGATTGTCGTGGGCCCTATGTATATATAAATTATCAACGTAACGAGCAGCACATTCCTAAGTTTTTGAGACATTGATCTGGACTTTCTTCATTGGTACCGAAAATTCTTCATTGGCGGAACTGGCGATATCGGATCACTATAGCATGTAGCTGTCATACAAACTTACCAATCAAAATAAAGTTCTTGTATGGAAAACATTTTTTTTTTGACAACATATCTTCACCAAATATATTATTTCTCATAACAAGTCTACAATCTCCGAACATCGTGTTCGTGTTGGACTACTATAGCCTATAATAATAAATCTATATTGTCCTAAGCAAGTCTACAGTATCCGAATACGTCTTTATAAAAGATATTTTTCCTTATTAAGTAACCTTAATTCGATTAGTACTCACCGATCCAAACGGGGTAGATCGCCGAAAAAARCCTTAATTCGACTTAAAGCTTGATTATCAAACAATATGACTAAAAAGAACTACCAAAATGTTTTCCATTTGTCTATTTCATCCGAAGGTTACAATAAWTTAATTAAAATGAAGCAAAACACWCAAATTAGACCAAAATGGTTTCTGTTTTTATCATTTTTRTTATGCAGATAATTTTATGCCATYTATGATTTAAACAAAATGTCGGCCAAATTGCCACCACGGCTCAATTTGCATATCCACCCGTATACGTCAATTTCCGATTGCCAGGTGCAGCATTTCGGCTATAGTGCGCTGAAATTTGTCTTTGAGTTCCTCGAGCGCTGCTGATTGATTCGAATCACCCCAAAATCGGCAATTTTGTTGAAATAATTAAGACAAAATTGGTCTCATCTAAGAAGATGATTTTTTGATGAACGTGAATTTATAATATTATGATTTACATCAATATCTCATCGTTCTTATTTGTAGATGCTTTAAGAATAATAATGAGTACTATTATATCATTTTTGAGTAATACGGTAGTAAAATTTATGAAAGAAAATACTAAGTATTTAGGTTGCGTTACTACTTAATTATACCAAGCTCACCGATAGGCTTTTTAATTTATTTTTATAAATCATCGCTAAATATGTTAATATGAAACTGTTGAATCCAAACTTCGGCTAAGAGACGAAAGCTGTTAAAAACTAATACTCGTATTAAAAAACGGGTAGAATAGTTACCCTTCGAACCGCCGAACGAGTTAACGAAACGATTTTTTTTTTTATAAAAATATTTCTAGTTTCGGAATTTACTTACATACATACATATTTTGGGTTCTCACTGTATAGGTACCAATAACGTAGAAAATGATTAATATAGTTGAATATTTTTAATCTATTAACATTTATTAAGTATTTATATTATCAACAAATATATTTAAGTTTATTGTTATTAAAGGGCAAATAGCAGACGTTTAAAATAATATTTGTATACATACATATATGCATTTATGTGCAATAATGAATTGACAAAGCCGAACCTAATTTTTTTTTTTATATTTCTATTTTACAGATAAATCACTCGGTAAAAACGCGTACAGCAAAATCGTCGAAGAAAATTATCATCTCGGAAGATGAACAAATGCATTCTTCGGAAGAAAATCAAAGCAACAGCAAACAAACCGAAATCGCCACCGAGGCTGGTTTCAATTCGGACAGTAGTAGCAACGAGCTGCTCGAGAAATGCCCAATTTGTCTCTTGACTTTTCGACAACAAGAAATCGGTTCGCCGGCAACATGTGCACACAGTTTTTGCTCCAGCTGCATCGAAGCTTGGTCCAAGAATGTGCAGACATGTCCTATCGATCGCATCGAATTCGATCGCATTGTCGTGCGGGATAATTTTGAAAATCGTAGAATCGTGCGCGAGATTAACGTCGATCCCAATAAGATTAGTAAAGAACTGGTATTGGATGATGAAGCGGATGGTGTCGATGAAGATGTGACTTATTGTGAGATCTGCAATAGTCCAGAACGAGAAGACGTAATGCTCTTGTGTGATGAATGTAATCAAGGCTATCATATGGATTGTCTCACACCACGTCTAACGCAAATTCCAGAAGGATCATGGTATTGCGACAACTGTTTTGATCCATCGGCTGAAAGTGACAATGTGTCAGAAGATTTAAATTTGCTTTACGAAGATATACGCGACATGGGCATACCGCAAGCGGCGTTACGTGTAACTGAATTGCAGCAGCCTCGCATATTGCGCACGCGTCAAAATGAACGTATACGTGCGGCCGTTTTACGCACAACACGCAGTCGGGCGCGCATCGAAACAACCACAACCACTACAACAAGCGCAGGTACCAGTCGCGGTCGTGGCAGGCCTCGTAACAGTACAACCACCACCACGACGACCACAACCACACGCACCACAAGACCATCAACTACACGTCGTAAGCCGAGCAGGCGTCGCCGACGTCGCACACGCAAACGTACATATGTTGTTGAGTATGATTTGAATAATTTCGATGAGAAGTTCGCAATTAAAACTACAAAGAAAATTATTAGAAGACGTCGACGCAAGCGCAGAGCATCAGCACGCAATACTGCACGAACCAGTACTGGCGGACGTATGACGGCTAGCAAGCGCTTGGCAGAGCAGATGGGTGTTAAGAAAGATCCCACATACACTTCACACCTGTCTGGCACGTCAGCTGGACTATCACTGTTTGGCGGTGCCAATGATTTGGAGTACTTTTCGGATAGTGATAACGGTGGTATTGAACATGAAATTCAAGTAGAGACAGGACATGGCACCGCTCTACAAACCTCCATACGCATATCGAACTTTGGCTCGCAACGAGCACGCAAAGGTATTCTCTTAGGCCGCCTACAAGGCAATAATAGACGTAATGTTCTCCCAGATTTACCAGCACAAACTGCAACACCCACTAGTGGTGATCTGTTATCCAGCATTATGAACATGCAAGATCGTTGGCATAATGCAGCCAGAAACATGGAAAGTGTGCATATTAGTGCTGACGGCACTTTGCAACTGCCCAGTAGTGGAATTAACATGAACGATAGCAATAGTTCTAGTGTCAATGCGGACTCAAATCAGCGGCAAACATCACGTAACTCAGTCAGTGCTAATGAGCAACAATCACGCACCCCTATCAACCCACTTGAGGGGGTCACACAAGCGCCGATGTATCCGCGTGGTGGAGGCGGAAACCAAAACTTCGGCGGCGGCAATAGTGGTGGCGGTGGTGGTAACTACAATAATCGATACAGTAACAATCAAAACAATTATCGCGGTAGTGGCGGTGGAGGTCAATATAGACACTCTATGGGTGGTAGTGCTGGTGGTGACGGAAACGATGGCAGCCGTGGAAATTTCAATTTTAGTAATCAAAATTTGAACAACAGCAACAACCCGAATCAGAACCCAAATTTTTCACCTTTCTCGATGCGTTTCAATCAACGTAATAATCAGCGCAACAATAATCAACGAAACTCTTTGCCATTTATGCATCGTAACGATGACGATCGACAACAGCACCAACAACAAAACCAAACACAAAATAAACCGAATGAAGGCAATAATCCCTTTAGGACTGGACTGCCACCACCTCAGCAACAGAATATGTCAAATGAAAATCCGCTCTTTGGTGATCTACCACCACCAGTAAGATCTGCACCATTAATGTCTGCTGTGCCACTGGGTATGGCTGGTCCGCCACCTGTGTCTGGACTACCGCCGATGGCAGGTCCACCGCATATGACAGGACCACCTCCCATTATGGGAACGTTACCAATGTCGAGACCGCCACCACCAGCAATGGCTATGAGTGGCCCACCGCCACCACTGGCAATGCATTCGCCAATGCAAACAATGAGACCGCTAATGACTGTGCCACCACCACCTGCGCCACCTCCGGGTGTGCCTATGCCTTGGGCCACACCACTCTTTCAACAATTGAATAACGATTATGGAAATGACGATGATGACTCCAATTGTCCGAACTTTTCCGTATACTCAGCCGAATCCCAAGAAGTTGCCAAATCAGCAGAAATGCAATCACAAACTCAGCAGAACAGCGAAGCAGCTAAGGTATGAATTGAAAAACAAAAATTAGACAATATTTTTTTTTTTTTTTGGCAATGCAATGCAATTTTTCGAATATGGCACAAATACTTCGAAAACGTTGTTAGTGGCAACTTTACAGCTGATTGAAATAAGATATTTTGTATATACTGCAGCAGTCGTTATTGGTTTGAAAACTCGAATATAATAAAAAATAAATACAGTTGGGGTTCTCTTTTACATACTTAATTACTACCACTTAATTGCGTTTACTATTCGAAACACCATTTAATATAAATATGTTTATCAATAGTGATTAGATTTCAGAATACTTTTATTAAAAAAACACGAGATATTTTAAAAGTTATTCGTGATGCAGGCAGCAGAGGGAGAGGGAGATATCAACAAGTAGTATATGGTATTAGAAGCGCACACAGTGTAAAATTTAGGCAATCCTTCGACTTCACACACCTCGGGAAAACAACGAGTGTGGAACGAAATCTTATTATGTTTACACACAAATTTCCCACATTTAAATTGAATTAATTTATGACTTAATCTTTTTCAACTTTAACTATGAATAAGAAAATTTTGCATTTAAAATCGTTAAAAGTCGATATATTTACACACTTGCGGTTTATGCCAGAAAAGTCGTTCTTCAACTTTATTTTAAACTCTTTTATATTTATCAAATCAAAATTGTTTTTAAACTTAATTGGTTTAATTATTTAAAATGTTTAAATCTTTCGAAAATAAATTCATAAAATCCGCTTTTAATGTGTTTTTCGTCTCTTTGTATGAACAAATTAGAGACGTTTCGTTTGTTTTTTAAATTTATTTGAGTAAATATGTAAAAAAAAAACGAACTATAAGATTAATCCGAATTTACGAAGAATATTAAATAATAACATTTTCCGTAGTTGAATTTTTCTTTTTAAAACACTCGAAGGAAGAGGCGCAATATTTTGTGTAAAAATCGGCTAATATGTTGTTGCAAAATAAACTACTATTTGAAAATAACTCTTCGGCGTTAACTCGTATGTTATGTGCAGAAATAGCAAATCGAATATAGCGGTGCCGTAGTTTCGAAGATATGGGGAGCACTAACTTTGAAAACTTGAGTTGAGCTGAAAACGATTTAAAGTTTTAAAATCTGATATAAAACGGTCATAAAAGACAGGTGTAAAAAACACTCATCATCTTTTAAATTTTTGAAATTTAGATACAACATTCTTAAGATATAATTTAATAATTTTATAAGAAAAATTAAGCACCTTACTCCCTTATTAAAGTACTATTAAATATTAGGTGAATTACATTACCAAGTACCTATAAATTGCATTTATAGCCAAATTTAAAAGCTCCCACCAACCCAGTTTTAAGCAGCCGCCATTGGTTATATTAGAACCTAACCGCTACTTTATAGGTATTTCCTTTAGTTACACTTAAAATACATATATTTTATTATTTGTGAATGCTTATAGCATTTCTTTTATGAACACGTTTGCCGAATACTTTTTGGATATAAATATTTCTCTGAAAGGTGTGTTTCGGATTTTCTTATAAAACCACACATTTGTCAAGTAGAGTAAAGCATTCCGATCAAAAGAGATTTCAGTCGTGTTCTGTCAAGTAGCCTACCTTATTTTTGTCATTTACTATGGAATATATTTATTTATTCAATGCATTTGAAAGACTGTATTTTGTCGGAAAAGGAGAAAAGCCTGATTAGATTATACTTTAACAAAACCAGTTAGATATACATACAAGTACATCCAGTACCTTTCCGGCAAACTCGACTATCACGGAAATAGTACATATGGATTTGGCCGATAAGATTTTAGTTCAGTTTTCTATAGTCTTAAATGGTATACATATATTCATAGTATTAGTTCTATGGTGGCTGTATAGTTTTAGTTTTCTTTTTATTTTTTAAAATAGTAGTACGTGTTCCTAAAAAGTTAAGTAAATCGCTGATTTTACATTTTTACGTTCAAATATTAAGATTGTCCAATAAACAATATTTCTCCTGTGGAATTAAGTTTTAAACCTTAAATACAATTAGTTTACAATCAGTTTTTTTACATATTTCGTATAGACGATTTAAATTATACGTAGTTAGGAGCATTCAGATATGTTTAGGTGAACTCATACATGTAGATAACCACAAAATGGTATACTAACCATGATATATCACTTTTCTTTCTCCTATTTCATAAAATATCGATTCTCAGGAAGACGATGAAAATGAAGATTTAGTACAATTAGATGATGATGATGAAATACCAATGCCACCAGAAACTAATCCAAATGAATCTCCAACTACAGTCAAAGATTCTGACTTATATGAGCCAGAAAATCCTACAGAAGAAAACGAGGACGATGACGTCGCCGATCGCGGCGATGACGACGACGACGACGAAGAACTTAAAAAACAAGAGAACAGTGAAGACAATGAAAAGGATGAAGTTGACAAGACAAATGAAAACCACGAAACTGTGGAAGAAATTGCTTCACCACGTCCTGGTCGGCGCGATAGCGTGGACAATTGCGACTCACAATATGATCCGGAACATGAAATCATATCCAACGAGGATTCTAATATGGCGGTGGAGGATAATAAAACAGAAAAGTTGGACGATTGTAATAAAAGTAATAATGAAACGTTGGAAAAGGAGCACGAACCTAAGGACGGTCATAGCGATCACTCACGTTCACCAAGTCCAACAGAATCCGAGATGAAATTGCCCGAAAATGATGTAGGCATTGCAAATAAGAAGGGCGTATTGGAATTGTACGATGATAGTGATTGGGAAGAACTGGATATTGATAAGCCAAAGGAATATGAGAAAGCAGCAAAACAGTCAGAAAAATCTGACTTAGAAGAAGGTCAGTGTGAAGAGCAGGATGAGACAACTTCAGACAAGCTTAAGGAACGCAGTAAAAGGAATAAGAGTAAGGGTAAAGAAACAGATGATAAAAACGAAGGCGAACTTGATCGATCTTATACACCATGCCTGGATGAGAACAATGAACCAGAAGAAGGCCATGAAAATGAAAAATTCGATGAGACGGGCGCAAAGTTGCTAAATGCCTCCAAGGATTCGAATGAACCGGACACGGAAGGCGGTAAAACGCCCGAAGTTATTGCCAGTGCACCGGTCGCCATTGAAACCGAACTAATTTCGGACGACGATGAGAATGCACGTGGCTCAAGGAAGCGAAGAAGTAGCAAAAAACGTGATAAACGTGACAAAAAAGTTGAAACATTCAAAAAAGTAAGCAACAAACAAAAGGTACGCAATTACCGCACCGACAAGCAACAAGTAGGTAAATATAAAGTGCGACATCAATCGTCAAAATCACGTTCTCGTTCTAAATCTATATCAAGAAGTCGTTCACGCACTCGGAGTCGCAGTCATAGCCGCATACGCAGTCGTTCGCGATCACCACGAGTCGCCGTAAATCGCTCTCGTTCACCCCATTCAGGTAGATCACGTTCGCGATCGCCACGTGGTCGTGGCCGTAGACGTTCCCGCTCCCGTTCCCGTTCATTACGTTCACGTAGTCGATCAAACAACAAGGAGAACAAGTGGCGACAAGGTGGTCGCTATAATAATAACCAGACCAGATTTCATGATCGAAATAAACAAAAAAATCAATATCGTCCCAAACGTAGAGAAATTCCACGCTATAATGTACGAAACGTTGT